AGCTTCAGGGAAAGCTGTGATGAAAACCCACAGCTTGCAGAGATCTTCTGAGGATGAAATGAGGTAAAGCAGCCCCTCAGTAATGGTGACACTCACTGAGCACTTCTCATGTGACAGTAACAGCACAGTCAAGGGCTCCATGTGCCTCCTTTAGTCCTCAGAACGACCCCAGGATGGAAGTGTTATTCACATTCCCATTTCACAGAGAAAGAACCTGAGGCTGGAGGAAGACGTGTAATTGCGCACTTGGCATAGCCTGATACACAGCATGTGCTAAATAAATGCACAGACCTGGGACCAGCAAATGGTGTAATGGTTATGTCGCTGGACTCCCACATAGTCAACCAAGGTTCAAGTTTCGGACCTGGCAGCTTAAAACTCACACCAGGTGCATGTGCATGCATGCCCCAAATCCCACACCATGGCCATTACCCCGGGGGGTTGGTGGTGGTCATTTCTTGCTCTCTGTCTCTGCAGCGAGTGTACACACCCTATAGCAAGAATCTCTCTTGAAAAAAAATGCAGGGACCAGCAATTAGCGTAATGGCTATGTCGCTGGACCCCCACGTAGTTGACCGCAGTTCGCGTCCCGGACCCAGTGGCTTAAAACTCACACAGGGCGCGTGTGCGTGCATGCCCAAGATCCCGAGAGGAGAATGGAGGAGAAGGGATTGCGGCGTGACCATCCCCTCTGGGGGGTGATTTCTCGCTTTCTGTCTCTATGTCTCTCTCTGTCTGGCGAGCGCACGCGCCCTATAGCGAAAACCTCTCAAAAAAAAAAAAAAAAAAGGAAGAAAAAAAATGCACAGACCTTTTCCTCAAGTCCCAGCCTCCTGCCAGCCTCCATCCTCTCAATTTGGCTGACCTCAACTCTTTCTCCTCCTCCCCACAGGCTCAGCTCCAGTGCCTCAGGGCCTACAGGGTCCTCAGAGGTCATTGAGAACTTTCTTTGTCCTGTACCTATGCTCTCCAACACAGGAGCCATGGCCACTGGGCACTCGAAATGTGTCTATCACAACCTGGGACACTGAAATTTATTTATTTATTTTTATTTATTTATATTTTTTTTTGGAGAGGTTTTTGCTATAGGGCACGTGTGCTCACCAGACAGACAGAGAGATACAGAGAGACAGACAGACA